TGCTTTAAAGCAAGACAATTTTCAAGGTCATGCCCAACACCTCCACTATGGTATTCACATCTTGCTTGTGGGTTATACCATATTGGAAATGGTGGACTTAATGGCACCATAGGTACAGGGGTAACAAGCCTAGTTGCTATCAACTGTCGAAACACTTAAGTATATGACATTGGAAGTTTATCAAAATAGCGTCTCTTTTTCTCTTGTTGTGGACGACTTGTCCCAGAGGCATGAATGGGCCTTGATTGACTTGTGAAAGTCGTTGATTGATAAGTTGGAGCTTGGAACCGATTATTGAACTGCCCCCATGACTGATTATAAACTGAGCTTATAGTGCCATTCCCATTCTCCTCCTTTCGATTTTGACCAACTTTCCTTGAACTAGAAACCCCTGAACTATCATTTTGGTATTGTTCAAAGAGACTCTTCATTGCTTGATAATCCATGATAATTCCAGACTTGATTCCATCCTCCACTTGTTCTCCCACAACAACCAACTGAGCAAAAGTGTAATTCACACAAGTTATTAATTTCTCACGATAAGGTCCTTTGGTTGACTTGATGAATAAATTACTCAATTCATGGTCAGTTAGTGGAGGTTGAACTCGAGCAGCCAATCCACGCCATCTCTGTGCAAATTCCTTAAAGCTCTCACTTGGTTTCTTTTCTGTCTTTTGAAGATCCTCTCTATTAGGAGCTAATGACGTATTGTATTCATATTGCTTCATAAAGTTGTGAGTCAAATCATGCCAACTCTTAACTTTACTCTTGTCTAAAGTTGAGAACCAAGCATCTGCAGGACCTGTCAGACTGTCCTGAAAGTAATGTATCATCAGCTTCTCATCATTGGCATAGGGAGCCATCTTCCTACAATACATCGTCAAGTGGGCATAAGGACAACCAGTGCCATTGTACTTATCGAACTCAGGCAATTTAAACTTATGGGGCAGTTGAATGTTTGGGAAAAAGCACAAAGATGAGATGTCAACCAATTTATTGGTTTGGACACCTTGCATCGATTTTAGTGTTTCCTCCATCAACTGCACCTTCGCTTTAATTGCCTTGTCTTCATCCTCTGTGATTGACTTGACAACTTGAATCTCTTCTTGACCATTAGATAGAACTGTAGCAACACCAGCATTTAGAACGAATGGCTTTGTCCCAGAAGTTCCACCAATAGTTGGATTTGGTGGGCAAGATGACATTGGCTCCTTTCCAAGAGTAGATGTGGCGATAGGGAGATTTGCCACCGGAACATTTCCTTCAAATAAAGGATTTGTTGTCAAAGGTGCCCTTGTGACTAAGGTTGCTTGAAGAGATTGGAAGGACGCCATCAATTCCTTCAAAGTATTTTCCATATTTTCAACACGATTTTCCAGAGCTACCTTCTCTAAATTAGGTTCGTCAGCCATTTTCCTTGCAAGAGCTCTAATGCGAATAGGTGAACGAACTCTTGGATAATTCCTTTTAGGACCAATCTTTCAACACCTAAAAAATATAACTATTATTAATAAATCGTGGATTCGGCATTTTGAAAGATAAGTTCCCAAAGTTCCCTATCTTCTAATTATTTATTTTTATTTTTACACATGGATTTTTCATTGTCAAGAACAACTTCAACCATTTGTATGTAAAGGGAATGAGAAACTAGAACTAAGCAATTGTCACGCCAGCTAGAAACATGAGGAGATTGCCCCCTTCATGATTTTTTAGATTTTTTTTTTTTAAGTAAAAGAAAAATAATGAAGAGATTGCCTCCCTCATATCTTTTCTTCTTTTTATTGAGGAACTTGCTTTTTCTCAACTAGTAAAATTCACTTTGTCAAGATTACTCAAACTATTCCAAGCAACAACCAAGTCTTTTACACAAGGTCTTTTGGTTTGCACAGAGAATCCATCCTTGTGTAACTTGTTGACATTCTAACTCTAAATTCATCCTTTTTTCCCTTACTGTTTTTTCCAAAGAATCCATGTGTAAAATAATCAATTACCTATTTATTAAAATAAAGAAAAGGAGAATTAATAAATGGCATACCTCTTGGTCGAATTCCTCACCTAAGAAACACAAAAATATTGTTTCAAAAAAAATACTCCCCACGTGTCCTATGTATAAGGTTCTTAAACTTTGAAAGCGATTTACTAGACTGACCGTCCTAGGGTTAAGTTTTGTCTAAGTTCATTACATGCGGTTTCCTAGTGGATCCTATACGATTAGGTTTTTTCAACTGCTAACTTCCATAAGTCAACAATTATTGACTTCCATAAAGTCAACAATTGCCAACTTCTATAGAGTTAACAAGAGGCATTTCATGATCTAATATAGCAGCAGCATTATGACTGTCAGGCCATATTAACCCACAAAATGAACCTAAAAGGGATAAATCTCACTTCACAAAGAAAGCATTGCGCTTTTCATTGCTCCATGAGTTATCCATCTATCTAG